TTCACACAAATTGATATACAAAAAAGCCCTAATTTTGAATTCACATAGATGCACATAGATTCAATAATTTCGAATTCACAAAAATAAAAAAAAAAAAAATCAATTACACATAAAGACCCTAATTTCGAATTCAAGCCCTAAATTGAAAAAACCCTAATTTTCGAATTCAACCCCTAATTCACAGAAATTCAATAATTTCAACTTCAAAGAAATTCAAAAAAATTCAATTACACACAAAGACCCTAATTTCTAATTCAACCCCTAAATTGAAAAAAACCCTGATTTTCGAATTCAACCACTAATTCATAGAAATTCAATAATTTCGAGCTCAAAGAAATTCACAAAAAATCAATTAAACACAAAGACCCTAATTTCGAATTCAAGCCTTAAATTGAAAAAAACCCTAATTTACAAGTTCAACCCCTAAATTGAAAAAAAAAAAAAACTCTAATATATATTATGAACAAACCCCAAAAATCCAAATTTACCTTTGAGCTTGGTAATGCCTTCGTGGGTGTCGAGGAGGACGGTTTGCATGGAGACTTCCTTTTGGAGCCGGCCATTTCTTCACAGAGATGGCGAAGTGACGGAGAAAGAGAGAGAGAGACGAAGATGGCGGGCGATGGTGATGAACGAACAGAGAGAGAGCGCAGAGGTGGCGATGGCGATGACGAAAAAACGAACAGAAATAGAGGTGGCGATGGCGATGACGAAAAAAGAACAGAGAGAGAGAGAGAGAAGAGAGCGGCGAGAAAGCGAGAAAAATCGAGGAGAGAGAGAGAGAGATTTACACTATGAATAAAATGAGCAAAATAAATGCATAATAATAATGTTTCTTTATATAGGGGGAGTGAAGTGGAAGAATAAAATTAGGGGTGGGGAGTGCAGAGGAAAATAATTTAGAGGGGGACTGATTTGGAAGTTAAAAAAGGGGAGAGGGATTTAAGTAGAATTTTCCGAAAAAATATAGTAAATTAATTGTTATTAAGACTGTGACTTTATATTAATATAATATTTAAAAATAATAATTAAAATCAATTTGATGTAAAACTAGGAAATATATGATGTGAAGTGATGGTTAGTTAGAATTATATGAGTTAATAAATAGTGAATTAAAGTTGAGTAACAATGATTGATTAATATTGTTTATTATATTAATAATTACGAAATTGAATTAAAATTAAATTTTTTATTTTGAGTACAAATTAATTTATATATATATATATATATATATATATATATTGTAAACAAACGCTCCCTAAATGACTTGAATATTTTGAAACTCATCTAGGCTACATTTCGACGTGCTAATACTAAGGCAATCATGCTATTTTATCGTATGTTGATACAATCACACCGAAATAACCAATACAAAAAGTAATGTAAAAAAAATAACATTTCATGATATATGTGTTTTTCAACGAAGCTATGACGAATCAATCCGTCTAATAATTAGACTTTAACTCAGTAAAAATTTGTGTTTAAAAATAGAAGAGTCTCAAAGTCTCAACTCTCGTCTTTTTTTGACTTTGTTTTTGCTATAATTAAAAGAAAAAACTTATTTTATTAAACTAAAAGCGATCCAATGCAGCCATCAAGCCCGTCTAGCTCAGTCGGTAGAGCGCAAGGCTCTTAACCTTGTGGTCGTGGGTTCGAGCCCCACGGTGGGCGTTTTTATTTGTTTTTTTCATGTCCTTTTTCTTTTCCTGCTCTATTTTACAAATTCGGCCCTTTTTTTATCTGTTTATTATATTTATCACACGTCCAAATTAGATGCTACGCTAGCATGGCAATCAGCAATAGGTACACAGTAAGACAAAAATGAAAAAAAAATAAAATAAAATAAATGATATCACAGGGCAACTGCCACTATTTCACTCATCTTCTTCTGATTATGAAAAATTTTTCACCGGCCAAAAAAAATAAAAAAATAAAACAAATAATTAAATAAAAAATCAGCCTCTCAGGCAACTAAACTATTTCTTCTAGAACATATATGTACTTCAAACAGCCAGATGCCTCAATTCGAAACAATCTCCTCAAGAAGATCGTCGAATATCAAATCCTCGACCTCGACCCCCACAAACTCGGCATCCGTCTGAACATTCATCCACCGGTTGCCCTTACCAAGACCCCGTCCCACTCCTTCGTCAATCGACTGATCCACCTCAGGCCTCCGGCTCAGCAGCCACTCGATCTCGGCCCAAACCTCCTCGAGCACTCGCTGACCCCTCGGCATCAGGTGCACGCTCGACTGCACAGCCAGTGGCCTCGGCCAATACTGAAATGACCTGTTGTGTATGTCCAGTAAGACCTCGTTCACCAAGTCGAACAGGAGCAGGTTGTCCCATGTCTCGTTTTCCGAGCACTCGGGGCCCTCGACCTCGTCGAAAACCGAGGGATCCACAGGCCCAGCTGCGGAGTGCCATCTCCCGAGGGGATCGTCCCGCATGAGGCCCGACAGGTCGAGTATGTCCTTCACGTAGTTGAACTCGGCCTTGTTGCTGGGGTCCACGTGGAAGTGCACAAGATCGCTGTACAGTTTCTCGATTGCCCGGGAATTCAAGTTTGTTGAGTCGAGCTGCGCAGCTGGTGGATTGGGATTGCCTTCCATAGGGAATTTTGAGTCTGTGATCAAGAGAGATTATAAATTTTGGGATGATTTCACAGAATTCGTACTTGAGTTTAGCCTGATAATTATAATAATAATATACTAACAACAAAATACTGTATCAGTAGGCTAACCATGTCCATGGGGCCATATTGTCATAAAACGAATATTAAAATTATTCAAGCACAAATAAGCTAATGAAACTTTACCTTCTAACGCAGTCACTGGCCCGATTTCATCTTCCTGGTAGCTCAACTCGTCCTCAGATACCGGACCTGAATCCAATGGTTGAGGAGCCGTAGCCGGACCCACCTCCACATTCAAATCGTGTGACGAAGCTGTTTCCCATGTCTTCGAGTCAACCGACTCATTGAGAGATGACCCCACATCTAACTTCTCATGGCTCACGCTTTCTGTAACAGCATGTGGCCCAACCGCACTAATCTCTAGACCTAATTCGAACGATTTTTCTTCTGTTAACCTGCTACTTAAATTTGCTCCATCTGTAGCATGTACCAAACTCGTGTCACAAGAGTCTCCTAAGTGACTGAACGGATATGACCTCATATCAGGAAGTGAAAGGATCCTCTTAAGCACGGCCTGCCGGCTCAGGGAAGATGGGTTCCTACTATTAGTGTTATTGATGTCTTCAGTTTTATTGTAATGACAATTATTATCGTCATCTGTTGTTCTTCTCTTCAGGGTACCGTTTGTACATGCCTTTGCTTCTTTATTTGAACTAATATCGAGCAAACGGTTATACTTATCGTACGACTCGTTGAAGGACGACGTTCTTTTGTAGACCTGCTGCTTGCCAAGCTTTCCTCCTTTATTACTGTAGCAACTAATTTCACCCCCCGAGCTTAATTTTTTCGAGACCCTCTGCCCGAAAGGGATCTTATGGTGCACGGCATCCATAATAATCCGATTCTTCTCCTTTTTCCTGTCCCAGATCACATGCTTTATCTTCTCCCTCAGATTCTTGAAGTGCTTCAGGGCAACCTTGTTATTCTTGTCACGCTTTTTCATCACGTTCGCTGGGAGCTCGAGCTTGCTGCCTCCTTTTTCTGCCTCGAAACCTATTCCGAATGACAAGCCTCTAGATGGGAATGAGACGGATTTCGTCAGCCCAAACCGTTCCCCGGGGGCCCGCCTGCATTGTATCTGATGTGCCAAGGCCGAGCTCGGGTCTTGCAGGATTTTCAAGAATACTTCCTTCCTGAGGTCAAGCAGGTCTAAAGCATCCATGAACAGCTTCGACTCCTGCAGAGAGTCACACTTGCTCTGCTCGATCGCATAAACCAGCTTGTCCTGGAGAAGGGTGTGGTCCCGGACCGGGTCCCACCCGAACCTGCTGACCTCACTCTGCTTCAGGTAGTTCAACTTGAGCATCGTGGCACACAGTTGGCAAGTCGGGGATCGGCCGCCGTTTTCCTCACTGGGCCCAGGTAGATGGGAATGGCAGCTTTCGGGTTTGGGCCTGCTGACAGCAAGCAGGCCCGGGCCCGAAGAAGATTCCGGGTGGTGAATGACGATGGTTTGGTCGAGCGGGGCCTGCATGGGACAGGAGGTGCTCCTCCGGTGGCGGCCGCGGCCCTTCCTCCGGGACATCTCGTCAGCAAGAAGAGCTTTTATTCGGGATTTCATGGAGTTCTTGTGGGGTGGGTGAGGGACCACGGGTTTTGTCCCAACCTGATGAGAATAATTAACGGGTTTTGTTCACACGATGAACGGAAAAGGTTTCGGTCACATAGCAAGATCGTTAAAAAATAAATAAATAAAATTAAAATACCGCATAATTTTCCACTGATGATCGGACACTATCTTGAGCCTCAGAAGCATCCGAAGTAGTTTTGGTGCTCCCTTCATCTGATGAAAAGTTTTTGGACATGCAAACAGTTAAAAACTGAGGAAGGATAAAAGGAAAGGGCATTCAGTTTTCTTTTGAGCTCAGGATCTAATTTTATTCTTCATGCTAAAATCAAAAGTTAGAAGTACAGGGTAGAATATTTTTTTCTTGGGGGTAAAACGCGCTCATCTAAAATAGTCGAACCAGTAGCAATTGCCAATGAGTCACTTAATCTAAGAGCAAAAGCTTTTCCCGAATACTACTATGATCTCACACATGAATAATCCGTAACGAATCAGTCAAAAACGACGAAACTTAATTTTCCATATCCAAAAAACACAATGCAAACAACACCAACAATGAAAACAAAAGCATGCATTTGCACAAATGAGATAGTTTTTACCAGTGGACAGTTTTGACGAGCCATGAGGTTTGCGGGTGAGCCTCTTCTTGCCGTAATGCCACCTGTAATGATGAAGATGGTGAAGCATGCCCCATATAACAAATCCTGGTCTATGATTCCCCAAAGACAGTCCAGTGTCCTCACTTTTCGAGTTTTTCCCCATTTTATTTCTCAGCTACACAAATTTCATGTACGCAAAATTCGGAACAAAATTCTCATCACCCACAAACCATGGCCAGATTTCATGATCTCCAAGCATTTTCGAAGCTCGAAATCGCAAGACCAATCGGAATTTCACTTGTACAAAATAAACAAAAAATCCAAAAAACCGTAACCAGACAAATTCGTCTAAAATTAACATAAAAATATGTGTAAATTTGGCTTGATTTCACGATCCCCAAACCATTTCCGAAGCTCGAAATCGCAAGACCAAACGGAATTTCAATCGTACAAGAAAACAAAAAATCCAGAAAACGGAAATTTTGTTTGAGATCAACAGCAAATTACGTGAAAAAAACAGATGATCGAGATCGGAAATTCAACAATTTATAGAAAAAACAAAAGGGCAGGGCAGGTAAAGAAATCAGCAGCAAAATGAAATCAAACCCTAGACAACAGTCAGAATTGTACCTATATGTGTGTGTGTGTGTGTGTGTGTCCTTAATCTATAGTTTTGAGCTATAAATTGAAAACAGTTGCACCTCTATGAGGAGACCCTTTTGGTAGGATGCCCTTGTTATGCTCTGCGGCCATGGCCGTCCACCAAATTTAGAGAGAGAGAGAGAGAGAGAGAGAGAGAGAGACTGTTTCGAGAAAATTTTCAGTTGCATATTTTATATTTTTTTTCCATTTGGCGCCTGTTTTATGACTGGTTAATAGCCAATGGGCTGGGGAAGGGGCTCCAGTATGGGCCTAATACGCTTGGGTTCGGTTTATTTTTTAATGAGGAAATTGCACCCCATACATCCTCTTCCTTTAAATATTATAAAATTACCATCATTAGTCAAATATTTATTTAATCACCAAAGAAACCATAAAATATTATAAATTTACCT